AGAAGATTAACTACAAAGGGGTATGAGGAAATTTCTTTGAATAATGGAAATATTCTGTTTTTTATTTTGATGATGCTTAATGACTGTATGTGTTTGTTAAAAGTCATAGAACTATAGGCCTAAAAGTAAAAAGGGTGAGTTTTACTGTAAGTCAATTATACATCAATAAATTACTGATAAAAGGAGAGAGAAAGGAATTTTAAGGCAAAACAGAAGAGGTTTGGTTGGGAAGATGGCTACAGGAGTCTTAATGTGTAAACAATATAAGCTTCTGAAGGAAAAGCAACTACTAAACCAGTAACATTATAATTAAAGTTCCTAAAGCTAAAAATCTTTCTCTGAGCTTGAGTCTACAGGTTGAAAATGCCTATAAAATTATAGGTTAGACAGATAAGAAAAGACATGTATCCTGGCATAACCTGGCAAAAGTCTTGAACCCTAAGAATAAATAGAAAAAGCTTAAATGTTTCCAGAGAGACAGAAACAATTACTTAGAAAAAAAGAGAGACAGGCATAGGCCTTCTTACTTGCAACATGACAAAAAAGGAAATGGTGAAATAGCATCCACAAACTTTTGAGAGAAAAGGACTGACGCTCAAGAATTCTATCTCAACCAAGAGTAAAATAGTTATTTTCAAAATAACTATTTCATTCAAAAAAATATATCATTCAAAAAAATATATCACCCATTTATTTACCCCATCTGGAGAAATAGCCAACAACAACAAAAAGAATGCTAACCAAATAATCCAATCATAGCAGAGACAGGGAAGGATAAAGAGGAGACCTTACAACATATGCAGTTAAATTGAAGTGGATATTAGTGAAGCAATTGATAAGAGATACATAACAAATGACAAGCCAATTAAATTTATTTTAGGATTAAAATAGAGCATATAAACAAAAAGAATATTAAAGTCATTCCAGAGAACAAGGAACCTGTAAAGTAGTTCTTATAAACAGCTTTTTTGTTTTGTTTTACCTGGTTTGCAAGATGAGAGTGACCAAACAGCTTGTGATCCAATTTCCCGTACTGTTCCAGTCCTTTCCAACTGCTTAGGGTCAGCACCAGGAGGTGTCTTGTTTGGTGTGGTCATTTTTAAAACAGTCTATGTAGAAAAAAGAACATCCGCATTATACCAGGCCTTAAGCATCTTTTTACAAAAGGTAAAAATTAAAATTTAATAGCAAAATGGATCACCTTGATATCATCTAATTCTCAAATACAATTAAGATAACTCAATCACTGTGATTAAAAAAATCTTGGGAAATCAGTTTTTAATTTCTAAATATAATATGGCTTACAAGATATGCAAAGGAGCAGAGTATAGTAGGCAAAAGGGCACAGAATCAGGGTTTTAGCTTTAGCCTCTCCTTTACTAGCCTAGACTTTGGGCAGGTCTGGACTTTATTTCTTTTCCTGTCAGAGGTTGATTTGATCTATAATGCCATAATGCTATGTAGTTCTATACTTTTATGAGTAAAAATTCTTAATTCAAATGTTTTTTTCCCCATAGAAAACTCAGACTGAAATACTTTTATCCCAAGAATATGTAAATATTGGTCTCCATTTAAAATAACCCATTAAGTGATGCAGAGAAAAATCACATCTCCCCACTAGTTGTCAAAAGCTCCATTTATATGTGCTTTTACCATAAACGACAAGGTCAGAAAAATGGCTTCAAGGTCTAGAAGTGAATAACTGGCCTATTCTAAACTAAAAATTTACTTCATCTTTCACATATTTTATTAATCTTGGTAAGTCTAAGCAAACGTGAAAAAAATACTTCTTGGATAGTGAACAATATGTAAAACTGCTTCGTAATGCAAAGTTACAGCTACTGCACAGTGTTACGCTATTATAGGCTTGAACCAATAGTTCTGTATATCATCTCCTTGACACCTGTTAGAGCTCAGTTGTTTCCTAATCCCCACACAAGGTCTTGATACTCACTAAATAATAGGAGAGCCACTGGACTATAAACTTCGTAGAAGCCTACAACTTAAATGCTCAATTAACAATTTGCTGAATGAATACAAATATGAATAGGTCCCAATCATAAACTACAGTATTTGCCACAGCAAATTAAGTAAGGTCTAGGGTGAGACAATTAAATCTCTGGCCATCATTACACGCTGAATGTCCTATCGTTGTCAAATGTCCAAAAATGTCAAATTGTCAAAATAAAAAGGCTCATCCCTCATCTCTCTACCTGAGCAGAATTCAACTTGCAGGACTTGGTACTGGACGCCACCAAGTGGATAAAACGCGGAGCTAGGACAAGACTGGGTACCTGGCCATACAGTTCGCAAAGAGCTAAGGCCACAGAGGGAACCCCACCGCAAACAGTGTCTGGACCAGACTCTGTTGGTCCTGCTAGACATCTCTGCTAGAAGTGCTAGCAAGTGGGCAATGGCTAAAGCTCCTCTGCTGACCCGCCGGCCTTAAGAAGATTGGGAGCAGTGAAAAACGTTGAGGATGGGGAAGAGAACGCCTCTGCTTACGCTAAGACCATTCTCCACGTCGGGAAAAGCTCACGCACTTACAGCTTGCGGAACCGGATTGCCGCAGTTCACGGGTTTAGGATTCCCTGCAGCTCCGCGCCACTCCCACTCAGCTTCTCAGGATAGCCTGGCTTCCCCAACGACATTGAATCGGCGTCGCAGCACAATAACGTCAGTTTTCACCGTCCCTCCCGGCGATCTCTGATGCGCACGCGCACTATGTCACTATGGCTTGCGCGAGGCGGCTGCTGGGCACCGCCATTTTGGCTGGAGGCAGTAGGAACACGTTGTGTAGTGGACAAGTGACGGCAAGAACGGATTTGGCCTGTGCGCTCCCCTCTGCAAGGGGATCGTTCTCGCCTGGTAAGTGAATAGCCCAGAGGGGTTTGGCCGGGGACTGCGGTCTGCTGCGATGTAGAGACTGTAGGGACGTTCTCCGAGAACCTTGGGTTAGGCCTTGGGTGACGGCGATGGGGATGGCAGCGCGCGTGGCAGCCGGCTCCGGTGGGATGCGACAGCTGGAACCGCCGGAGCGCGGGCACCAGCGAGGGCTTGGAGGCGCGTTGTGCTTCCGGTCCAGCTGACCTGATTCTCGGCCGCTCTTGCCCGCCACCCCTGCCAGAGGCTACGAGAATGGACCTAGATGCCATCTCTTCAACGATCCTCCCTCCACCTAGTCCACTGCCCCTCTGTCCCTCTCCTACCTTAGAACTGAACCCTCTAAAGAGGAAGGCACCTTCAGATTTTACAGAATCCCCTTTACTATCTCCACTCTTCCCCTTTCACAGTAAAATGAATCTATGTTCACGTGCGTATTTCATTATGGGAAGTCGTGGCCTTTTCTTTGACTGTTCGGTGATTATGGAATGAGTCATGGCATCTTGCCGCCATGAAGTTGAGTACTCCCTTGTCTGCTCCCAGTCTTTACAGAAATGACGGTCAAACGTCGCTCTGCTTTTACCTTAGAGCAACGAGTACTCGCCTATAACTGGTGTTATCCCAGGTAATCTCCCAGTCGACCGCGTTTAGCTTTTTTGGTGCGCTTTTATAGCATTCGGCACTTTTCCCCTTGGTGACTTTTTCCTTTTCCCCCTTATTAAATTCCTTGATATCAGGGGTTGTGTCTTTACTCAAAATGCCTTTATTTTCCCTTCAGTGGTTCGACATTGTAGGCATGACGGTCAAAGCCGATTTCCACAACCCGTTAACTACAGAAGCCTATTTTCTGGGGTTTTTTGTGATTCAGTCAATAAGAGGGAGAACTGTCAAAACAACGTTTTACTTTTCTTTTACCCTCTCTTCCACAGGACTGCTAACTAGGCATTTATGATAGTGGCATTTATGTTGCAGTCCTTAGTACATTTGTCCCATATGCTGAGAATATTTATTCTATACCAGCTACCTGAAATAATGCTTTTATTAGTATTAACAAAGGGCTCTTACCTGTATTTGAACCAAAGGGGTTTTCGTGTTTTTTTTTTAATTTCAGTGACATTCTCCTGTATAAAAATTTTTTTAGGAAGAACGTTTAATATAATTGCTGGGGGGGGGGGTTGAAGAAAGCAATATTAATTTAGTATCCCTTTTAAATGTCTTCAGTTTAAGGCTCTGAAGTCAGAGTTGTGCTCTGCTCCCAACTTCTGTGTTTTATAAAACTAATAACCTACAATAATCATAGGTTGGAATATTTCTCTTCCTATTTAGCCTCATTCAGTAACAGCTGTTTTTTAAATGCTTGCACACAGTGTTATAGTAATTTTGCTTATCATGTATGCCTCACTTCCTTTTTTTCTCTCAGCTGGAAGAATGACTGTGAGAAATCATTGTTTGAGAATGACTGGAAACACATTTTTTCAGATCTGAAATATCTTCAAATTCCTCTTTGTTCCCAGGAATCTGCTATACTTTTCCCCTCCAAGCTTTACTATGCTGTATTTTTCTCATTGAAAAGAATAGGAACCCCCCCCTCCCCAATTCTTGAAACTAATACAGGAATTTAATAAGTTTACACAGTTAACAGTTCTACAAGAAGCTGTATTCATTTTTCTTAAATGCATTATAATTTATCACTGTTTCTATGTCAATCAGTTTATTAACCATCTCTGGTATATTTTTATTTTTCTGTAAGAATTGTCTCTTATTGTCACTTGATTTTTTTAAATGGTTTGAAATATTAGATGAAACATTTTAGTAGTTTGGCAGAAATAAATTTTAATTTAAGCAATTTCATGATAAAATATCCCATAGAAGGGAATTCATTACAGTTATTCACCCAAGTAATTTGTATAGTGTCCAGTTTTATTTTGATAGCTAACTAAAGAATCTTCAGTTTTGGGGGAGTTGTCGCTTTTAGAATGATGGCTTTTTTGTAGCAATTCAAAAGTCATTTAACGTTTTCCTCTTCTAATCTTCATGAGACCTGGACTGGTTTTTAAAGGGAGTGAAGTGAACCTATTAGTTAGCATAACTTTGTTTATTAAGTAAATATTTAGTCTCCTTTGGGGCGATTTTTTTTTTCAATGTATACTTTAGTGGATAACCGTCACTATGAAATATTGGTAACTTGCAAGATTTATGAAGTTGTAATAAGCTATAGGAAACTTATTTAAATTTATTTTCTCATTCATTCACGTTTCAGTTCCTACTATATGCTAGGCACTGGTCACGCCACTGGGATGAGCAAATGGACAAAAATCCCTGCCCTCGTAATGAAGTACAGTCTACGTGGGGAGGGGAAAATATTGTCTGTGTGTGTGTAGAGAGAGAATATATATACACACACAATAAATGTGTACATATATGAAAGATATACTTATATTATGGAATGAGCTAAGAAGAAAAATAAAACGAAGCAGGGAAGAGGGACAGAAGGACAGGTGGGTATGTTTTTTTGATAGGATAGCTAGAGAAGGCTCACTGAGAAATAAACATTAAAGATTTGAAGGAGTGAGCTATGCAAATCACTAGGGGGAATAGTATTACAGGCAGAGGGAACAGAAAATGCCAAGACTATGAAGCAAGAACACGCCTGGCATGTCTAAGAAAAGCAAGGAACCAATGTGGTTGGAATAAAATTAACAGCTACAGTAGCTGGAGATGACATCAGAAAGTTAACAGAGGCTGATCAGTGCCCGTTAGTTATATTGAGGACTTTGGCTTTTGTTTGGAGTGAGTAGGGAAGCCATTGCAGTAGAGCAGTGTGACATGAATTGGCTTACACCTCAAGAAGGTCGTTGGCTCCTAGATTGAGAAGGAACTGTCAAGGGTTGGAGTAGGAGGAGGTAAGAGTAGAAGAGGTCTGTGGGGAAGAAATGGCCCGACAAGCTGTTTTGATGGAGCGATAAGCACTAAAGCTTGGAATGGATTCCAGAGAAGATATATAGAGAGAAATCTGAAACACTGACTACAAGCAACTCTTTCAAGTAGTCTTGCTATAAAAGGAAGGAGAAATAAAGCAAAGGGAGAGAGGAGAGAATGGAGTCAGATAACAGAGTACGTGAATGTTGATGGGAATAAGCCAGTGGAAAGAACAGTTGATGTGAAAGACAGAGGAAGAATTGTTGGAACATTCTCCTTAGATGTTTTTTAGTGTGCAAGTGGACTTAGCTCTGGAAATACATATAGTGTGATTGCTGGTTGGTATAAGTGTTCACTTGAGATGACAGTAGTCAGCATGGCTTTGTTTTTTCTCTACCCATTTTCAGCTATACATATGCCGATGAAGAGTTGCCTTTAACCAGGATTGTAGTTAAGGGTATAAGTAATAGACAAGGGAAGTTTAGCTGGGTATGGAGGAAATGAAGCTACAAAGAACTGAGGGACAGTGGAAATGTGGTAGTATCGAGAGATAGTGATGGTAGGTCTGAGAAACGTAGAAATTCAAAGGGTGTTAGATTGTTGTATATGAGAGGGGTGGTTAAAGAATGGGGTATTTGAAATGGAGGTTATGAAAGGATTGCAGTTATTGTTCATGACAAGGTCAAGGGTTTGACCAAAGGAATGAGTGACTGAGGTAGAGTGAAAGACAAGATCATTGCAGGAGAGAGATTAATGAGCTAAGAGGACAGGCTATTAATGTAGACTCATCTGTGAATATATTAAAATCACCAAGGATTATGACAGGAGTTGTAAAAGAAAATGAAAGTTAGCCAAGGTCTGAAATCATCAAAGAATGGGAGTGATGTGATGGTCAGTAAATGACAAAAACAGTTGGATGATTTAAGTGGCAAAAGCTGACTTTTTACAGGGGGAAAGATAATAGTCTGGAAGCGGCATTGAGGAAGGAGCAAGCTCTCTTATCCCCCTCCAAGCCTAATGATATTGAGGTATGTGAGAAATATTTGAGGTCTACAAGGGAAAGCAGTCTGTCAGAAAAAAGAATTGAGGATCACAGCTGTTGATAGACAAAGCCAACAGAATGTCTTTGTTGATGCATAGTCTTTTGGCTTCAGGTTCTTTTAGGTATTGGGAAAAACGACAGTATTAAGGCACTTTTTGGAATTATTTTTTTAATCACCATTCGAAGAAAATGTCTGTCACCCAGCCTATATTGTAAAAGATTTTTCAGTTCACTTTAAAAGATTTCTAGGTTCACTTTGACCTTAGCTACCTAATTGATGGCACTGTTAAATAGCAAGACTTATAAAAGCTTTAAAAATGAGCAGTCTATACATACAGTCACTTGGTCTTTTCATTTCAGTGCTGTTAGCATAAAATTCATCATGGCCGTATTGCAAATTCCCAAAGAAACACAATTTTTACTTTTTCTAGTTTGTCAACATCATGGTCAGAACCTTAGTAATTATTTGCCATTTTCATCAGCGTCATTATAGTCAGATGGATAAGATATCTTACATTAGTTTGAGGGAGGGAGTAAATACCGTTATCATATGTGTTAGTTTTCATGTCAGGTCTTTATATTGTTTTATTGGTCTGTATTTACAACTGAGATCACTGTTAATAACTGAGGCCTTATATCATTTCTTCCGTCTGCCAAGTGTAAGTCCCCATCCTCCTTGTTCTTTTCCAGTTTTCCTAGCTGTTACTGCTTCTTTTCATTTTGATTAAGAGCTTTAACAATCTCCAGTTGATTTTTTTCCCTTGAGACTGGATTAAATGTATAAATTCGGGGAAGGCTGAAATCTGATGTTAACTATTCTCTATTATAAAAACTGAGACAGCTTTTTGTT